ATAAGGAGTAAAGCAGCTTTGAGGCGAGGAGCACAATCAGTACATATATCTGCTGCGCTCCTCTCGTGGTTCGGATGTGTCCAGATGTGGAACACCACAGCAGAGTATGCACTGTGTTATACGCCTCTGAGTCAGTACATATATCTGCTACCACTGTGTTATATGTACTGCTGCCTCAGTACATATCTCCTGTGTCCAGATGTGGAACACCAGAACAGAGTAATATATTACACTGTGTCATAGTTTCACTTGGAGTTGAGCATCCCACTCATCTGAATCAGAACAATATAATGACACAAACTCGAGTTTGTGAGTAAAACGAGTTGTGGCTCTTCACAGACTCAGAGGAGTTGGATGACCTGTATTAAGAAGTGTGAGGACCAAAATGAATTGGAGTTCTGCACCGATGATCGTGTACATGTATAGAGCGAGAGATATAGAAAGAGAGAGAGAGACAGAAGGAGCGAGAGAGAGAGAGACAGAAAGAGCGAGAGACAGAGAGTCTTAGAGAGACTACTTAATTTCCAGGAGACGCAGGGTCGAGCACATGCGTAGACCATCAGCCTCGTTTTTTATAACATTTCAGACGATCGTTGTAGGAGAGCAGCAAGGTAATGTGAATATCCAAGATAAGCGAAGCTCGGATGTATCCGAGATCACAGGGGATAGACAGACAGAGGAAGTCCGCAAGAAATGGTCATGTACATTTGAAGAGCGAGAGATATAGAAAAAGAGAGAGATACAGAAAGAGCGATTGACAAGAGTGTTTCAGAGAGACTGTACTTAATTTTTTGGAGACGCCACACGGACGGCGCAGGGTCCAACACACGCGGAGATCATTAGCCTCGCTTTTAAAAGCATTTCAGACGATCGTTGCAGAAGAGCAGCAAGGCAATGTGATTTTCCCAGATAAGCGAAGCTCGGATATATCCGAGATCACAGGAGATTAACAGAGAGGAAGCTCGCAAGAAATGACATATTAGCACGCGAGAGGGCTGAGAGATGGAAAATATAAGCATCGTATAGTCACCCACAGCATTTCGTGTCATGAACGTATCCGAAGTGTCGAACTAGTATAGACCCTTCAGTTTGAAGCTTCCCCTGTGCTTTTTGGGACACAGTGCAAGAAGTATCTTTTGCGAAACTGAGAAAGAGAGAGAGAGAGAGAGAGAGAGAGAGAGAGAGAGAGAGAGAGAGAGAGAAAAACATTGTACCATCATCCACCACATTTTTTATCCATCCGGAGTGTCTCAGCTGTGAGTCGCTTCGCAACGATCTAGACAGAGCTGACAGAGATAGAAAGAGCGCGTCAGAGAGATGGAGAGGGAGACAGAGACAGAGACAGGGACAGAGACAGAGACACAGAGAGAGACAGAGACACAGAGAGAGACAGAGAGAGTGTGGATGATTGCACTGAATTTTCTTTTCATGTCGACATGTGGCACAGGAGACGCATGTTCGAGGAACACGCATTCCATAAGTGTAGTTGTACAAGAGTTCTTGCAAGGTTTTCGTTGGGCGAGAGTAAGCCAAGTTCGGATGGATCCGAGATGAAAGGGGAGAGGGAGTCCGAAGCAAACAGCAAATGAGCGCACTAGACACAGTTGTGGGTGTGTGTGTGCGAGAGAGAGAGAGAGAGAGAGAGATGATTCTTGAATTCGTTTTTCGGAAATTGAGGCGTTCACCAATCATACAGTGGTCATTTGTTCATGAGTGCCAGCTCAATTCAATTTGTGTCACTTTATAGCATCAATCGGCCTCGCCTTGTGATTTATCCTTCCGTCACCACATCCAATTTTGTCGAATCATGCAATTGTATTTCAGCCGCGCCACCTTAATTCAAATCTCGTCACATTCGAGCAGCCATTGGCGTCACCTTTTGGGTTTTCCCTCTCGGCACATTCAAATTTTTCATTGTATTGGGTAATGCATAGGAACCAAATGTATGAATGCTCGTGCAGAAGGGGAGCTTTGTCGGGCCAAAGAATTGACAGCATTCAATGTCAGAATCACAAAGCACACAGTGCGGAGGGCCAGATGGGCCATCAAATGTATAAAGAGGCCCGTGTGTTGTATTTTGTTCTCTGTGACGCCTCACAACATTCAAAGTGAAAATGCATAGATGAGTGTAGAGGACGGGGGAGGTTCGGGAGAGAGGCAGAAAAGCACAGAGTTAGTTCGAGCCCGGATGCATCCGAGTATGCGGGCAAAACATCACACCACACAAGGCACAAAATGACGAACGCGAGATATTCAATCACGAAACAGGCGCCCCAACAACGGGGACGTTCATGATAATTGAAATCCAATGAGAAAGAACAATATTGTCGACAGCAAACACGCCGGGGACATGACAAGTTCACCCGGAGATTTCCTGGGAGTGACAGCCAGTTCTGCTCTGAACCAAACCGAGAACACCCACCAGTCCCTCACGGAAAAAATGAAAAGGAACAAATTTCGTCCGGAGAAGAACGAAATGTTCTTCTACGTCAACCCTTCTACACTACATGATCAACAAAGAGATAGACGCTTACCTACCAACATCGCAAATCGCCAAAGCTAGTCTAGCTCTGATAGAGGAGATGTGTCTATGGGAGAAACCGAAAAGTGGACGTAAACCTCTCGCCAAACAGGAAGCGAACATCAACATGAACACCCCACAACTAGCCCCGTCGTGCTGCCGAGGGACACCTTTCACGTTGACCTCGAGCGAAGTGGTCGAAAGTGCGACCATCATCGGCGGCACCTGCCACCGTGTTAAAAAATTTAACAGTTTTATCCAGAAGTGAGGAGTAGAAGGAATCTTTGGATGACGAACACGAGAAAGAATCATAGATTTCCAAAACACGTCTAAAGAAGACAATGGCCAAAAAGCTCCAGTGTTCGCCGTCCTTGTGCAATGGTGCCAAGACGAGGTCATGAGACAGGAGGTCGACATCTTTAGCCCATCTGAGGACAGTTGTCAGACCTCGCAGAAGCAGTGAAAAGGCGAAGGAGGAGTTAAAGGTGTATGTCTTCATGGTAGCGGCAGTCCGGCCACAGTCGTCCAGTAGCATCGCCATGTAGAAATTTACAACCTCATCGTTGAGCTCCCGGATCTATCCACGAGTGCCACGATGTCCTTGACGGATACCTGTAAACTGTGAGACGGCAAACGCGCAACGATGATAGTGAGTGGCAACCGGGAGCAATTAACGTCTTCAAGGACCGCCCTTCCATCTCGAGGAAACCCTGTTCAACAAACACCCGCAGCACACAGCAAGCACAAAGGACGGTGCACTATGAGACTGTGTATCTTTTTAACGCAGAACAGGGGAATTAAACTCCCGTTGAATCCCGTTAAACTCAAAAAAATCCCTTTGAATTCGCGTTAAATGCGAAAATGGGCCGCTCCCGCGCTTTTTGGAAAAACGGAATTGATGCGCGGGGTCCGGAACACGTCGCCCTAGGCAAAAAATAAAATAAAATAAAATAAAATAAAATAAAATAAAAATTCCCCCAACCCCTGAAGCACCTCCCATCCGCCCCCACATCCCCTAACCCCCAACGCCCCAGTTATGTGTGTGTAGCTGTGTTGTGTGTGCGCGTATTTGTGTATGTGTGTGCCTGCTGTGAGAGTGTGTCTGTGCATGAATATGAATGTATGCGCGTGTGTTTGTGTATGTGTGTGTTTGTAAGGTGTGTGTGTGTGTCTGTGCTTGTAAGTGTATGTGTGTGTTTGTAAGTGTGTGTGTGTATGTATATGTGTGTGTTTGTGTATGTCTGTGTTTGTAAGTGTGTGTGTGTATGTGTGTGTTTGTAAGTATGTGTGTATGTGTAAGTGTGTCTGTGCCTGCGCATGAGAGTGTGTCTCGCCTTACTCACAACCTCGTTCCCCAACACACAGATTCCACTTGCACCCAAGGACCACCCTGCGCCACACCCAGCTTACAGCAGCGCAGCTGGGCTATGGTTGCCTGCTCCTTCCTGCTCGCCCGTGAGCGCATGAGTGGCACGAGCTACAACGCGGCAGCGCTTACGCAGCATGCAGCCAGCACCCGAATGCCCAATGTGGAGGCAGACCCTTTGCTATATCGAAGTGGCCTGCCTGTGTTCAGTCCCGGGAAGCTTCCAGTAGGCCCCGGTAGCCTGAAGCACAACACGAACGAGAACAGGCCTTGGGCCTGAGGTGGTTGCATGCCCCCAACTGCCTTTGGCCTGTATTTGGCCCAGTACCCGTATCCAGCCCAGGGCCTGCTTTCCATCCATTCACACAGGCGGCCCAGGACCTGGGTTCCCTCAACCAACTGACACCAGACTCATGCAACCTTCTACAAGCCCAATTTTGTGTGTTTGTGTGTCTTTTTTTCCATTTTTCAATTTGATTTTTATGGTTTTGATTTTTTTTAAAATACACAAAGTTCCAAAAAAAAAAATAAAAAATAAATTGTTGTACACCTTTGAAATATCTACAACCCTATATTTTTTATTTATTTTTTTTGTTTTCGTTTTAGCCCTTAAAAAATCTTTGTGAAACCCAAAACAAAAACACTCATTTCATTTTCGTTTTTGTTTTTTCATTGTGTGCTTATGTTTTTGATTTTTTTAAAATAGATTTGAGCATCATAAAATAAAAATAAAAATACGAGGTTGTAGTCCTTAAGAAAACCTACAACCCCATATATTTTGTTTTTTCTTTGGATAATTTTTAGCCCACGAAAATAATCATCCCCGACCCCGTTAATTCCCGTTCAACTCGAGTTTGAACGGGAGTTTAACGCGAATTCAACGCGCGTTGAATTTTTCAATGCGAAAGCCGCGTTAAATCCAATTTCAGACACACAGAGCGCAAGGAACCGCTACTCTGTGGTCCGAAAAGTTCACGCATAACGTCACCCCTACTTCTGGACCTTCTACACACAGTTGATTCTAAACTAGCACTGTCCTTTATATCCCTGCAAGCCTCGAGAAGGAATTCCTTGCAGTCTTTTTCGGCAACACACGCTGCCTCTGCAACGAGTCCTGCGCGGGAGCCCAATACGGGCACGACTACCCTTCTGGGAGGGCCTCGAGGCTTAGTGTCCCCAGGAAACGCATCAGTGACATTGCGACGACCAGTGCCTCCCGCAACCAGAACTGAAAACCTGGCGAGGGCAAGCGGCTCCTGTGACATGGGTGTTTGTCCACGAGTTCGTCGACCTGTACAAGAAATAGCCACCCAGACAGTTCAGCAGGAGATCAACAACACAAGTTCACAAGAGCAACCAAGCAAACAGCACCTCACGAAGCACATCGTCACAATCCAGTTGGCGGCCGCCTATACACCTCCCCGAAATCGACGAAGCAAACAACACTTCACGAACGGGCTGACGAGCGGGAAGAAAGCAGAGAAAGTCAGTGCTTACCAGGCCTAGCTACCACTTCACCAGAGCCCACCGACGGCAGTCCCAGCACGATTGGCACCCCTGCGCGCGTAGACGCGACGACGACGTGCTCCAAACCCACAGGGAAACTTGACAAGCTCGAGATGTCGACGTCGATGACCGTAGACGGTATATTCGTCTCCGGACAAAGATCGTCGACGTCCACAACATCGACAGGTTGTGTTTTCTCCATTGCCACTGTGTCGTATTGTGTTGGGCTCAATGTCCCATGGATGTCCAACAACACCTCTSCCCCCCTTAACTTCTTGTCCCTGTACGCTGTGTCTTTGTCGTCGTCACTCAAATAGAGAAATTTATCTCCAACAGCGTCAGAGGCCTTCTTCAGAACGTCCTTCCCCATCGCCTCGTTGTGAAGGGCGGAGTACAAGGGATTGTCGTATCCCGGCTAAACTGGTAGCTCCATCCCGACGTCGCTGAGTGTCGGATCAATCCGGTCGTCGGCGGAATTGTCCTTGTCCAAAGTCGTTTGTAGTCGACAACCCTCAACGCCTGCCAGTTGAAGTCTTTCGTCTGTGTGCCTCGGATGAATCTGAATCACAGTCGTCTCGAAAGATGCATCAGGGAGGGAGATGTTCACAGGGCCCTGGTTCGGATTCATCCGAGCCCCCGCAGTTTCCAATGATGCCGACATGACCGCTTTCACTGAGGAGTCGCTTACAACTGCTAACTCGGCTCCGAGTGTGTTGGGCTCGACATTGGAACTGGTCGCCAACTCACCCTCAGTCCGAGAGTCCGCCTGCAGCTCCTTGTGGGCTTCCACACAGAGCATTACTGCATCCTGACACCGATCGTCTGTTATCGCAGACACGGCTTCCTGGTTCAGATGAATCCGAGTTTCATCGCCCGGGTTTTCGGAAACCTGGACCACCCGTTCGAGTTCTGTAGACAGTTGTGCTCCCTCGATGGCACGGCCTTCGCGGTTCGGATTAATCCGAAATTCCTTTTGAGGCGAAACGGAACACGGTTCCAGCTTGTCGCTGCCGGACCCGTGGTATGTTGTCGTCTCGCTTCCAGGAAGGCACTGAATTCCGGACAACGTGGTCGTCTCCGAGGTTCGGATTGATCCGAGACAATCCGCCAACCGTATTTGGAGCTGAGCGAAGCATGTTCCATGCTTTGCGACACCCGCCCCGCCAACCGCATCGACAAACTATATTTCGCTGGTGGAGCTAATCACAGGGTCCTGCTCGCCAGGCCGCGTAATACACCCAGGCCTCAAGTCGTTCCCCGTCTCCATTGAGGTGCTGCCTGTTACCGCCAGAACCCCACCGTCCTCGTCGCGGTCGACATCGGACCCCTGCCCGTCTCCTCTGTGATGCTTTGTCTTCTCTCCGCTGCGAGGCTTCTTCTTCTCTCGACTGCCCTTTCTCCCCTCTCCGCCGCCTGCGTGCCTCGGAGACCGCTGTTTCGTCGATCGCTGTTCACTTCCACCTTCGGTACCTCATTGCCCGTCGCCTTCACCATCCCCGTCGCCGTCCTTTCCGCGAGGCTTGCGCTTCACAACTCCTGCCGGCGGGGTGACCCCAGGCAATTCCCAACTTACTTGCTTAATTGACGGGCTTGACGGAAGGGCGTAGAACGCGAAAGACACTTCTAGCCATTTATTTGACTGCAAGAACTCGAACAGCGTGTCCCCGTATTCGCGAAGAGCAGGGTCGTCCTTATTTCGTCACTTGACCTCACTTAATCTCTCCAATACCGCATCGTAGGCGTGAGATTTGAATGTCTCGAGGTCCCAACGATCGTCATATATCCACCCCCCACTTACGTCCCTCACAGCCACTGCCCATTCGCCGTCGAGAAGGACTGGCTGGAAATGGTCTGGGTGCCACACGATATCATGGCCCCAATCTTCGGCTGTGGAGAAGGTGTGTTTGTCGCCCATGTGGAAGGGAGTCGCAGGAGCCTTGAGATGCGGATGGTCCGGAGGAACTGGATGGCCGGGTCGAAGACGTTCGGGCTGCGGCGTGAGACGAAGAGGCTCCCCCGGCGAACTCCTCAGACGGGACAACCCACCCCTCTTGACAGGCGCTGAGGAGGACACGGGCGTGGGACCGCCCGAGGTAGGTGTAGCGAGAGGTGTCCCCGGTTTGCATACTGATGGCGACTCAGAAACTTGGGCGTTGAAGATGGCCAATTGCCCGTCCAAATCAAAGAGGTCGTCCTCAACGCTCTCCTCCTGCTAAGTCTTGATATTGAAGTCGTCCTCCTCACCGAATGGCAGCTTGGACTTATCCAAAGTGAAGTCGGCCGGATCGACAACATCCTCGTTAAAAAAGACATATTCCAGCCTCTTAATGAAGCTCACAGCGCCGGCCCGACTCGCTCCGTGGTAGCCCTGGAGGACCGCAATGGCGACTTCCTTCCGCACCACGTACTGCGGGTCAAATCTCAACCTTGGTTGTTTGCCGTAAAGGAAGGAGTAGACCTGGCGCCTTTTCTTCGGAGTCAACTTGAAGAACATGTCCTTATTCGGGTCATAAACGGGCTCGACCACGACATGGTGGAAATCGCATGGGTAAGCCTTGGATGACACTTCATGGGTCACATTGCACGGTGTATTCAAGCTGCGTTGTGTCCCCATCCACGGCCAAGACGTGCCTTCCCTGCTGAAGCAGACTCCACACCACCTGCGCGTGCGGCTTGCCCAAGAACAGCACGGCATCCGCCACACCACAGAAGAAAAGAAGCTGATTGCACAACTGATTCGGATTCCGCTTGCCGTCCTTGTGCAGAGCCCCCCTCTGGGTCAGGTTTCCGATGTCCGCGAAAGTCAAAGACTTGAAAGACTTCTCCTCCTCATCCGTGGGTGTCACTTTCTGTTTCCTCCGGAGAGCGGCATCCTCGTCTTCAGCAACAGCTCTCTCGTACACCGGGTGAGTCAGTAGCCGAGGATCCTCGCCTTTGAAAAGGATATGCATCACATCCAGCTCCTCCCAGACGCTGTTTCCGAACTGATGCGTCTTCTTCGATGCCGTCTTCCGAACCCACTTCCCTGTGTAGCATCGGGTAGCCCCAAGCGCAGACAAACATGTCATGAAGGAGAGGTTCCACAGGCAAGGGACGAATACCACCAATGTCCGGTAGTCCTGACAAACGAAGCCCAACAACTCACTCAGAGACGCGAACGCCCCAGAGTCCCATTGTGCACGGTCCACAGCACCGCACAAGTCGAGCACGCAAGTGTGGGAGCGTAATTGATGCCCTAGTTTTCCCAGCGCCTGCTTATGATCTATGGCACTCAACGGGTCGACGTTAAACTGGGCCAGCGTCGTCAAGGCGCTTGTCCTTGTCCACATAATGTTGATGCATTCATCAACACCCCGAGGGTTTTTTTTGTCTTTGGCGCGATCTCCAGTGATCATCGAAAGGACGACACGCTTCCACTCCGCCGGGAAATATGCTGGTTGTTGACGAGGGCCGTCGTTCTCTTTATGTTGTTGTCGTGTTGACACCCGAGAAACTGAGGGCACTTGTTGATATATGTTGTGTCCGTGAAAAATTTCCTGCTCTCATTCCAAAGCTTGTCGTCGAGACCTCTGTCCTTGAACTCTTCGAACACTTGCTTCTTGGACCTGAAGAACGTGGAGTTGACATTCCACTCCCGCTTATCCATTTCCTCGTACTCGAACTCCACGTAGTGCCTCAGCCTCAGCATAATCAGGTCCATTTTTATTATGTCGACCATCTCCTTGACACTGAACTTCCCCTGCTTGGCCAACTTTTTGCTACTCGTTTGAACCCACACGACGTTAAGGTTCAAGACGCCGTTCAACAACCTTTTCTTCTCGCGGTCCGTCAAGTCCACCAATTCCTTCCAGAAGTGGACATCCGACTTTGAAACTTCGACGTAGAAAGTTTTCTCCTCCGCGCCTTTCTTTGGCTTCCCCCTGCCCTTTTTCAACGACGGGTCGTCCACCTTCACGTACCAGACGTGTTTCTTCAGCCCCTGAATGTCAGTCACAGTGGAGAGTCCTGGCTTGGCCACCTCCTCATAGGTGGGCGGCTTTTCAGTCCAACGCCGGTCGTCGGAAACAAGGAGTTTCCCTTTCGACCACTCCTAATAGAACTTCAACCCCAAAGCGAAGACGGAGTCATCCGCCATGGCCAGCAGGAGGTAGTATCGAAGTTTCTCAGCCCATTCCTTTCTTTTCTTTGCTTCCATTGACAGGTTCAAGATAGGCGTGTACGGCGTCTTCTTCATTGCCAACGCCATGAACCGCACCCACTTTCGCACCTCGTCCTGTTTTTTCGAGGCACTGCCGAGCACCACACGCGGTTTGCCCTTAATTTTCCAGATATTGCGAATGTCTTACATAGATAAAACCTGCAAGCCGGTGGATTCTTCTTGTCTTTCATGTTGTCTTCACAGTTGACATGGGCGTAGCCGTCGAACTCGTCGTCAGGGAAGTAGATCGGTCTGAACGGCCATTTACAGAAGTTGTAGTAATCAAACATGGGATGGTCTTTCACCATCATCGCCGCCCTCGCGTTATGCTGTCCACACACAGGATAATACCAGTATYTCTCCGGGTGYGAGYTGTYGAAGTCARCAGGCAGCACGCKCRCAGCAGGCTCGCCGTTCTCTGGAGGCGCGACGATCGGAGCGAGAACGAAAATGGGCTTCGTGTATCTCATGTCTTTACGTTCGTAGCAGTCGATCATAGCCGACGCGATGGTATCAACGAGGAACTCGTCCAAKGATCGGTGGTTGTACGCRTCTTCCCAGTCAGGAATAGCTAATATTCTTTCGGGATGGATGTGCAACACGACGTCCTTCTGCACCCCTGTCTGCATCTCGAGGAAGAACGCATTGTCGAGGTTAAAGGCGTTGAGGTTAATCTCCACGTCGTCATCCCCCTCCCCGCTATCGCCCTTGTCTGCTTTCTTCCCCCTCGATGATTTCGCCCTTTTCCCCGAAGACTCACCGGTTCTTCGTTGTGTCAACGAGTCTTTTAGCATTTCATCCCCACCTTCAACCCTTTTCCTCTTCTCAACGGAACCGCCCTCTCGTGTTGTTGGCGTCCGAGCACTCCCTCCTACCTTTCTCTGCCTTTTCAGAGCACCTTAGTCCCTCTCGCTCTTCCTCATCCGGCAAGTTGCGCTTGCCTCCCGACGGAGTCTTTTCAGCCGATCTCTCACGGAACAGCCCCTGCTCGGACACCTCCTCCTCACCGGCAACGTTCCCACTTGCTTCTCGTTCCTAGCTCAACTCCGTCTGCAGTTCCCCCCGCGCTGGTTGGGCCCGGCGAGTCGTCTCATCTGACCCACGCACCTCTCGAACCTGCGGACCACCCGCCCGATCTCCAGACGAAACCTCGGCCACCTGCATGCCACGAACGAACGAACCAATCCTTTCGACCAGACAACGACGAGTCGTCGATTCTGAGCCCTGTCGCAACCATTCGCCATCGCCGCCTCCATGTGGCGTCGACTCCCAAAAGCAAACCGTGGCGGCGAGATACATGCAAGCCCGGTTTCAAAGGAGCACGCGGATGGTCGTCCTCCGAGTCGTCTGGCATGCCTACCTCTTGATCAGGAGGCGTAGCTGGCAGGCCACCTTGACCTCCCATCTCCCTTTCAGAGCACTCTCCTCCTGTGAACCCAGCAGGACCACTGATCGATGTTCCAGGTCCGACGTCCATAGCACTGACAGAGGTACCAGATTTCGCCCAAACCTCGAGGAAGTCTGTGACGTGAACGGCCTCGTCGTGCCCCGGCGCTAGCGGGAGAAAGTGAGGCAAAGACATCGCACAACGGCCGTACCCGCCAAACATCTTCCTGGCAACCTTGCATCCCTTTGCGATGTCGTCTACAAAACCATCACTTCTGTAATGCTTCTTCAACGTAAACTTGAAATTATGTTCGCCATCGTCGCCCCACTGGACGATGGACCCTGCGAGACGTGTTCTGTCGGTGCGAACGACGACGAACAAGAGCGGCCCGCATGGTGGTTGCAACGGGTGGGAGCCATCCTGGCTCGCCCAGTCCAAATACCAGACACGTTTGCTGTAGTCACACCACAAGTTTTGAGCACGTTATTCTTCCTCCCCTGGACACCCGCTGAAAGAAACTCCTCTTTGCGTCAATACGCTTCATATGGGCCGATGATAAGCAGCCGCGCAGAATGCATAGCACGTTCCGATTGCGAAATCGTCGGGTCTTTTTCTCGCGACGGCGAAGGCTCGTGATCACCCCCGGCGACGGCGATGATGGTTTTTGGATTGGATGCCATGAAATGTGGTGCCATGTCCGTAGCCCTCTGTGCAACAGCCGCTGCCAGACCGAAAGTGACTGAGCGACGCTGGCCGACGCTGCAATCGACCTTGTCCAGCATGTCATCTTGTGTCTCGGATCCATCCGAAGTTAGGGGCCTCTGGAGCTTATTCCTTCTCGTCACCGAACGTTCAGCACCTGCACAGAACACAAAAAAACTTCCCGATTGGAACATCGTGGGGTCATCGAGTTGTCGACTTCCACATGATGATTACCGTGAACAACGGCATGATGGCAGGTTCGCCTCTCCGATGTGGGTCTAACGGTGGATTGCGTCAAATTTGCTCTCAAAGATGCGCACCGGAGAGGGGGGTCAGCAATCAACCACTGCTTGCTTGTAAAACATCATATGATATGTCGATACAACCGACATTCAGAACTGGTCGGTAGGCATCTGGTGCTACGCCAAAAAGTTCGTCATGCGGCCTCAATATTTCCCCGCGATTGCTCATTTTGGGGTTCTCGCGTCATAGACTCCCTTATGATGACTACAGTTAACAGCGGCAGGGTAGCAGCTCCTCTTCTCTGATATGGATCTCACGGTGGAGTGCGAAACTCTGCTCTCAAAGATCCACACCGGGAAAGGGGGCCAGCTATCAACCACTGCTTGCTTGTAAAACATCATATGATGTGTCGACACAACCGACATTCAAAACTGGACGGTGAGCATCTGGTGCTACGCCGGAAAGCTCGTCATGCGGCCGCGATATTCCCCCGCAATTGCTCATTTTCGGGTTCTCGCATCATAGACTCCCTTATGATGACTACACTTAACAGCGGTAGGGTAGCAGGTCCTCTTCTCTGATATGGATCTCACGGTGGAGTGCGAAACTCTGCTCTCAAAGAACCAGACCGGGAAAGGGGGACAGCTTTCAACCACTGCTTGCTTGTAAAACATCATATGATGTGTCGATACAACCGACATTCAGAACTGGTCGGTGAACATCTGGTGCTACGCCAAAAAGTTCGTCATGCGGCCGCAATATTCCTCCGCAATTGCTCATTTTTGGGTTCCCGCGTCATAGACTCCCTTATGATAACTAAAGTTAACAGCGGTAGGGTAGCAGGTCCCCTTCTCCGATATGGATCTCACAGTGCAGTGCGAAACTCTGCTCTCAAAGATCCACACCCGGAAAGGGGGCCAGCTATCAACCACTGCTTGATCTTAAGGCATCATATGATTTGTCCATTACATCGATGTTCGAAACTGTTTGGTGAGCATCAGGTGCTACACCAACAATTTCCGAACAAGACCGCGAGGTTCCCTAAGAGTGCTTTTGCCACCCCACAGCAAAGCCTGCCGACTGTTTGGCCCTGCGGGAAGGTTGTCAATTTCTTATGACGCGGAAGACTCGTGATGCGTGCTGATGGTGGGCATTGCATACTTGACGCACTGGCATTGCATACTTCCGTCGTCTGTATGCGTGCTGATAGTGCTCGGCATTGCATACTTGACGCACTGGTGGTGTATGCTGCAATTGTCTAAATCTGGATTTAAGTGTCTCAGATGCATCCGATATAAGAACCTGCGACGATGCAGACTTGCCAATATTTACCTGCATCATTGCATCGGATTCATCCGAGTTTGAAATCAGTTACATATTTGCGCACCCGCAATTTCTACAGCATGTCTGGTCGGTGACGGACAAGGCTTGTAGTCCGGTTCAAGGTTGGCTGTGCTCCTCTAATGTCAAGTCCGATATTTGTCTGCATCGTTGCGTCGGATTCATCCGAATCTAAAGTATATTACATACGTGCGGGACGCCATTTCTACGCCATACATGTGAAATCAGTGAGGGTGAAGGCTTGTCGTCCGGTTCAAGGCTGGCTATGCATTGTCTTTTTGTTTCGGTGTGCTGCTATAGTGCTTCCCAACAGGCGGCCGCATCTCTGTCGCTTTATCATTGTCAAAGTCCAACAACTGTCTCGGCTGCGATTTAGGTCAACGTCTGTTGCTTTGCTCGCAGGGAAAAGTGGAATGCTTCACTGGTGTGATACGACGACGGTCGATCAAGACTTCCCTCCCACCCCAGTTTGCCTTCCGTTACGTTTTCGGCAGGAATTGACTGGGAAGGGATTGGTAATGGGCATTGGAGTTCCGAGCAGTGCCGATAGTGCTTCTTCCGGACTCGAGCCATGTGCTTCCTCTGGAAAACGGTCACGTGACTCAAACACTCAGCATCGACGGAAGAGAACACAATTGTCCACCTCCACCGAGCATTCGTACATCTGTCGTGACGTGCTCGAATACCACAAAAACACTAGAAGCGGGGGCCAGTTTCTTAGTGTCGATTGTACATCCAGAGTCTCTTCAGCATGTTCTGAAATGACCGACGCTGGGATGTCGAACTCCATACCCTAAGGGAATCTCGGTGACTGTAGTTATAGTGGGACGGAGTACGTGTATAGTGCGAACAACTGCACTACTGCTGGTTCTTCCTTGGGAGTTGCCGATGGGGGTGATAGGGTTTCCTCGTCTACCCCTCCGCAGTACCAGGAGAGTCAAGGACCGTCCACGGATGAAATCACTGAATACTGCTATTCACGAGATAGTCAGAGCTCGCTCTGTCTTTCCGAAGAGGACCGCCACATACGGTACATTTTGCCGGCGCCTATGCCCGGTGAAAGAAGACCCTATTCTATGGCAAACAGAGAACCGGCCAAAAAGACACAGCATCGGGGAGCTATGGGCAAACTCAGGATGCCGTCACTTCAGGTAGTGTGAGGGATGCTCTGTTGTAGGCGGATGTGTTGCACTCAACTGACAGCCGAAGATGTCAGGCCGGTGCGGGAGACATTCTACTCGAAAAGTTTCGCAGAAAGGACAAAGTGGTGGTTGCAAACCATACATGACTTGACGGTTATGGAAGGTGGTGCTGAGTGGGTCAGGCCTGTAGCTTGCAAACGGAAGATGTGCGTGGAGGCGTACTGTAACATTCTCGACATTTTTCGTAACACATTCTATGTCTACAAAAGGATGTACGATAACGGTGTTGTCGTTAGGGAGTATGGGCACTCGGGCTTGTCTAAACCATCCGAAAAAGTCGTCACGATGCTTGCACTGTTGAAACGGTTCATCGACAACCACGCCGATAGTATGCCGAATGACATGGTCTGGAAAAACGGAGTTTGTCGTCCTCGTCGTAGGATTCCTGCGACATTCACAAAACGAGCAATTTACGAATCATTGCGCTCTGATCTTTTGATGTGCCACTCGGAAGTTGTGTCGGAGTCGACTTTCTACGCTATGTGGAGTAAGCACTTATGGCACTTGAGTCTAGCTATGTCCAACACATTCACGAAGTGTGCAAAATATATATTCTACAAGCAGTGCATTGCCGAGTCGAAGTACGAGAGGGACCGTAAGAAATCCAAAGATAGGATGCGGAAACATCAAGAGCTGCAAGTCAACCACAGGCTAGACTATAGCCGCTGCAAAATGGATTCCATCTTGCGGCAGTCCGAGTGTCTGTGCATCATTATTGACGGCATGGATCAAAACAAAACTATCATACTGCATATAGGACAGGCTAACTACTCGAAGGACTTGCACCATGAGAGGATGATGAAGACTGGTCTCACGACCGTTCTAGTCCATGGCCGGGATCCGTCTATATATGTTTACACATATTTTCCTTACTACACACACAATCCCAACAGTACGGCGACGTGTTTAATGCGGACTCTTACGGAGATCCAATCCAGTGGGAAACCTCTACCGCCGTTTTTTCGTATTCAAGCTAACAACTGCTTCAAAGAAAACAAGAATCGATTCATCTGCGTGTTGGCAGCACTTCTTGTGAAGTTTGGGATTTTCAAGGAAATAGAAATTGGTTTTATGATAGTTGGACACACGCACACAGACGTCGATGCCACGTTTAGTGTTTTCTCCTAGAAACTCAAGGACAATGATGCCTACACAATGGATGAGTTGTTCCTTTTGCTAGAGCGGTCTCATAAGACTCCTCCGCGATGTATTTTTCTTGATAGGATAGCAGACTGGAGAGGTCTTATTTACCCGCATGTTTCAAAGCGCATGACAGGGATTTCGAAGCCTCATTTGCTGAAATTGTACATGATAGGTGATAATCCCGCCATGTCCTATAAAAAGTGGTTCAGATTAATCCGAACTTCTCCGTGGTGCCTCAGTTAGTGGTCGCCCCGTGAGTTTTAGTGGGTTGTGACTCGGATGCAACCGAAATTAACAAGGATGGCTCCGATACGTCGGTTGTTGCACCACCACAAGATGGTATGGACAGGGTGGGCTGTCGTCCTCCTGGTTGGTCAAACATGTCGTCATCGACAATACCCTATGAGCATCTGATCGCTCTGTGTCCTGTCTTATATCCAAGTCAAGGGAAGGGTTCCTCGCGGCGTTCGGCTGACGCGACGTTTGATAGGGTTTAAAGATTTGAATTCACGTTCGCCTCCTGTGTCTTCG